GGCTGAATGGTCCTTGACAAATAGACGCCAGGTACTGAGAAGGGGCCCTAGCCAAGTGTGGTCCTGAGTGACAGGGCTGGTGGTCCTTCTAGCCACAGGTAGCTGGAGCCTCTGGGAAGAACCACTTGTGGTTCTCTCTTGTTCTATGTGGGTGGGTCATGATTTTTTTTTACATTTTAAACACTAATTTTTAAAATGTAACAGGTGAGCTTGTTACATTTGTACCATTTTGTGCCAGACAAAATACCATAGACTAGGTGGCTTAAAATTTGTTTCTCATGGATATGGAGGCTGGGAAGGGCAAGATCAAGATGCTGGTTGATTTGGTTTCTGATGAGGGCTCTCTTCCTGACTTGCAGACAGCCTCCTTCTTGCTGTGCCTTCACATGGCCTTTACTCTGTGAGTGGGTGCATGTGGAAAGAGATTTTCCACACAGTGAGCTTCCAGACAGTGAGCTTGTTAATGCTAGCCTCCATCCGAATCCAGGCTGGGGAGGGGCTCTGCTAACCAGAGGAGTTTAAAATAGACTTGCTGGCTGGATGCATTGCACTTGGGCATCCAGTGGCCTCCCGCCTGCCGGCTCCAGGGTACATGCTACCCCAGCAGGGGAGAATGTCCTGGTGGTGCAGAGTCCATTCATTCAGCAAACATTGACAAGGGTGCCTTCAGTGTGCCTGGGCCCCTCCCCACTCACTGACTTCAACGCTTGCAGGAAGGATGCTTGTACTTGGAACCAGCAGACACAAGATTCCCATTCCCAGCCAGTCCTCCCCGGTGTGCTGAGGAGTCCAGCATGGTCCCCAGTCAGCTTGGCTGTGTAACTTCACTCTTGCCATCTGCTAGTTTTGTGACCCTGGGCAAGTTACTCAACCTTTCTGAGCCTCAGACCCCTCATCTGTGAAATGGGTCTTAGAGTAGTACCTAATATATTAGGCTGTTGTCAGCCTCAAGTGTGACCTCTGTTAGGCACAGACCTTGGCATTTGTGATTACTGGACTTAAGTTTAGCTATTGGGAGTTCTTTCTATTTGAATGTGGGACATAGCAAGTGCCTTCCAGACCTCAGTCTTTCCATCTGAAAAAAGAGAGCAATGTTTTTTGCTCTAATTCCAAGGGATGCTCTGAGGTTCTCCTGAAATAGTGGATAAGGTTCTGCACCCACATGAGGAGGTATTCCCATCCCACCAGGGAATAAAGGCCCCAGTCTTCTTGGCACGATGCTTTGAGTTAGGTTTAGCCTCCTGTAGAAATCAAGATGCATTTATTTATTTATTAGTTTATTGGGTAGGGAAGAGGCTACTGCAGAAGGGACTCTGAAGTGTCCCATCCTCAGCATTACGGAGACATTTCTCATTTAACAAGCTGCTGCCACATCCTAAGTGCTATCTAGAGCAAAGAAGCAGGCATGCTACTTTACAGCCAAATCCAGCAGCCAGCCAGCCATGCGACAGGCCCAGGATGCCAGGGAGATGCTGACATTTGTTCAACAGCTGCTTACAGGCCAGGCATTGCCAGCCAGTTGCAGTTGCATAACTATCATAAAAATGGCTTCCCTGGGTTTACATTTAGGGAAATTGAGGCACAGAAATATGGTAACCTGCCCAAGGACATGTAGACAATAGTTGCTGGTAGCCCAGGCTCTTCCATTTGTCTTAGGCGCTACCATAGATTGAAAGTAGCTGACTCGGCCGGGCGCGGTGGCTCAAGCCTGTAATCCCAGCACTTTGTGAGGCCGAGACGGGTGGATCACGAGGTCCGCAGATTGAGACCATCCTGGCTAACACGGTGAAACCCCGTCTCTACTAAAAAAAAATACAAAAAACTAGCCGGGCGAGGTGGTGGGCGCCTGTAGTCCCAGCTACTTGGGAGGCTGAGGCAGGAGAATGACGTGAACCCGGGAGGCGGAGCTTACAGTGAGCTGAGATCAGGCCACTGCACTCCAGCCTGGGCGACAGAGCGAGACTCCGTCTCAAAAAAAAAAAAAAAAAAAAAAGAAAGTAGCTGACTCCTGGTAGGGCGTGATGAGCAGAGGTGGGACCCAGGCAGGAGCTGCAAACCCAGGCTTGACCATTTACCTAGTCTATGGCCTTCTGTTCTTTGGACCTCTCTTTCCCCACAAATGAAATGGGAATGGACTATCAGAGGCTACACACCAGCTTATGGAGGCAGCCCTAGACACTACCAGTTTTTAAACAATTATTTAATCTGAAGGTTTTTATTTTTATTTACACTTTTAATTTTATTTTGGAACTGATAATAAACTAGGAACATAGTTAAAAATTCAGGAGGCACAAATAAGAATGCAGGGAAGTCTCCCTCCTTAGAGGCAGCCACTCACTGTTAGAAACTTCTTATGTAGCCTCCAGAGATATTATATGCATATACAAATGCATATGCATATGTATATTTTTCTCTCCCCACTTTTTTTACACACATAGTAGCATATTCTACATACTATCCTGCCCCTTATTTCTTTCAAATAAAGTCGAAAAGGGTTTAAAGATCATTCTTTGCCCATCAGGGGTCCTAATTCTTTTTTTATGGCTGCACAGAACTGTGAATGCCTTTAGACTAGGTTTGCCTTTCTGGGTACATTGCCACAGTCCCCACTATCATGCAGTGGTTTACACCCAGCCTGTTCCACAATTATGTGCTACCTCTGTTGCACTTGCATGGTTGGGGTGACCTCTGAGGACACTTACAGGTCTAATTTTTAGACCTGTAAAAATTGCCCTTCTCCAGGTCTAATTTTTGTCTTTCTCCCTGATCCTTAAAATGAAGTTCTCCAACCAGGCTTTAGTGACTTTACAGAGCCCAGGGTGAGGGGGCATGGTCATTTTGTAGGCTGGGTGGGTCCCCAGCTGTCCCCAGCCTCAGTTTCTACTTATCTACCCTGTCTCTGTTGCCCTTCTTGCTCCAATAGTGGCCATTGCTTCAGAGGACGACTTTCAGCACAGTTCAAACTCCACCTACAGAACCATAGGCAGCAGTCTGCAAGCTGACCAGGAGGCACTGCTTGAGAAGCTGCTGGACCACCCGCCCCCTGGCCTACAGAGGCCCGAGGACCGCTTCTATGGCACATACATCATCTTCTTCAGCCTGGGCATTGGCAGTCTACTGCCATGGAACTTCCTTGTCACTGCCAAGGAGTACTGGATGTTCAAACTCGGCAACTCCTCCAGCCCAGCCACGGGGGAGGACCCTGAGGGCTCAGACATCCTGGTAAGGGCATGTTTCTCCTGCAAGGCTGGTGGGAGCATACAGAGGCCTCATGCCTCACATGGCAGGGGAAGATGGAGATTTCAGACACATTTCCAGCCTTTAGATTACTTACTGTTTAGCTTGGGAAGAACATGCAAATTATGGTTCCATGTGGTGTGTATGGTAAACGCAAGAATCTAGAGTCCACACCTCCAGGGGTGTGAAGGTATGGACTGAATAGCATTAGTTACAGAAAATTCCAAAAGACTAGTAACTAAAATGAGATGGAAGGTCATTTTTCTCCTATGTTCAATTCTGGTAGGGACAGCCCAAGGCTGGTATGACATTCTATGGCATTAGGAACCCAGTTGCTTCAACTCTGTGCAGCTTTCATGGCCAAGGCCACCTCACAGTACAAGATGGCTGTTGTAGGTCCAGCTATTACATCAGTAGGTAGAAGCAAGAGGAGGAGGAAGAAATGCCTGTTGCCTGTAAGAACACTTCCTGGAAGTGACACACCTTGCTCTTCTTACATTGCATTGGTCAAAACTTAGGCATGTGACCACATCAGCTTACAGAGCATGCTGGGAAATGTAGTCTTTCGATGTAGCTTTATCTCAGAGAACCATGTGCCTGCTAAAATGGGAGGTTCTGTTATGGAAGATGGGGAAAATTAATCCAAAGGGATAATTAGTCTGATCACCATGGGAGAGATTGCTGTGACTTGGAGTTGGTGGGTTTCAAGAAAGGGGAGAAAACGATCCAGGTAGAAGAAAAAGGCTGGGCAATGGCAGAATGGGAGGAAAGTCCAGGTATGTATGACAGTGAAGCCGTGTTTGGGGCACAAGTAAGAGAGAGAGGTCTTGAGATCATTGCCCGGGGCCTTGAATGTCAAGGTGAGGAGTCAATTTTGTTTAGTTGACAGGGCTGCTCACTTTGCTGGGTGACTTTTCCAGAGAGGTGGGGGTGGTAGGGGAAGAGGATTAAAGAAAAAAATTATGACACTTGTTAAAACAGTTAAGGAAAGCTTTATTTAAGACTTGTAGTAGGGGAGATAAATGGAGTCCAACTCTGAAAAGGAGACATGGGGATTTATAGCCAAGGGGCAGCATGAGGGTCCGGAGGATGGCACATTTCTAAGAGGAGAGTCAAGGCGAGGCCTCTGCTTGCTGAAAGCAGGCCCAGGACTTACACAGTTGACCCTTGAACAACAGGGGTTCACTTAGATGCAGATTTTTGTTTCAACCAAATGTGGATGGAAAATGCAGTATTTGTGAGTTGTGAAACCTGCATATACAGAGGGCCAATGTTTCCTATTTGTGGTTCTGCAAGACCGACTGAGTATGCTCGGGTTTTGGTACCTGGGGGGGGATCCTGGAACCAATCCCTTGAGTACACTGAATGGTGTGAGGAGCTTGATCGGATATGAGAGAAGGGAATATTCTGGCTCAACTGGCCTAACAGGATGCTTGCTGAAAGCAGGCCTAGGACTTACACAGTCTACTCTTAAACAATATGGGTTTGAATTGTGTTATATGTGAAGTTTTTCAAACAAATGCTGATGGAAAATGTGCTATTAGTAAAGTTCAAAACCTGATTATAGGGAGAGCTGGGTTCCACAAGGCTGACTGGAGACCTGAGTACGTGTGGATTTGGGTATAGGTGGGAGTCCTGGACCAATGCCCTGAGTATATGGAGAGACAGCTGAACATCAGAGGTGGGGAATGAGGAACTCGATCAGATCTCAAAGGTGGGGGTGTAGCAGGACAAGCTGCAGACAAAACTCCTCAGACGCTGGATTAAAGAAGGAAGAGATTTTTTATTTGGCCAGAAGCGTCGGCAGACTTGTGTCTCAAAAGCCAAACTCTCCGAAGACAGAGTTCCTGGCCCTTTTAAGGGCTTACAACTCTAAGGGGTTCCACTTGAAAGGGTCATGATAGATTGAGAGCACATGTGGTTAGAGTGGGGGATTAAAAGTAACCTCAGGCCTGGTCATCAGTGGCACTGGCTGGTCTTGCCACTGACTTCATTCCTGTTGTTTTTTTAACTTTTACTTTCTCCTAATCAGAGACAGGAGACAGTAAGAGAAATGGCTTCTCTCCTCATTCCCCCCTTTGAGAACCTCACTCACTAGTGGGAGTTCTCACTCTCATCTTCACTATCCAGGTCTTCCTGCCAATCCAGTTCCATTGATTCCTAGAGTTACATACTCTGTTTTCTAACGGGGATCAAGTAGTTCTAATGGGTTATAGCACACATCAGGCTGGTCACTTCCTGGGCTGCATATCTTGCACTGGGTGGCATTATACTCACAAGTCCCTTTTAAACAACAAGACTGTTTCAAGTTTTTGCCCTATCTCTGTCTGAGGAAGGTCAGTTGAAGTCCTTACTGTACAAGTCCAAAATTTAAGAAAAATGAATCCCACAATGAGCTTCCTCATGCTTCGGCTGTGCATGGACCAGTCAGCTTCTGGGTATGACTGGAGCAGGGCTTGTCATCTTCAGAGTCACTCTTCAAGGGTTGTCCAGGCTTGGTCTTGCCTCCCAGGTTTCAGGTGCTGCAGGTTTTACACGGCTGTGGTGGATCCAGGCTGGGATTCCCTCTACCTTCACAGTGGTGGGAGTGGTCAGGATGACAGTCTGGGGTCCTTTGCACCATGGCCATAAAGAGGCTACATTCCAGTCCTTGATCCACACTCGATTACCTGGGGAGAAAGGGTGAACTGGGGAGAATAAGCTAACAGGGCATCTCTCATTTACCCAGGCTGAGATTGTGTTATTTTTCCTAAAGCCTGTAGCTGTAACTTAATTTCACCTCACTCTCAGGGAGTGCCTGAAGGTCCCCGCAATGTGGGAGGGGGCCTATGATATATTTCATAAGGGGAATATCCTGTTCTTTTAGAAGGGGTACATCTAATTTTAAATAATACCATAGGGAGAGCCTGTATCCGTTTTAATCCTATTTCCTGACATACTTTCCCTAAACTATTTTTGATAGTCCGATTCATCTGCTCCACCTTTCTGGAACTCTGAGGCTGGTAGGCGGCATGCAGTTTCCATGTGATCCCCAATACCTTTGCCGTCTTCTGTACCAAGTCAGCCACAAACACCACCGGCCTGTTATCTGAGTCGATCCATAAGGGCAGCCCAAATCTAGGAATAAGATCTCAAAGAAGCATATGGGTTACTTCACGAGCTTTCTCAGTTCGTGTTGGATTAGCCTTCACCCACCCAGAGTAGGTACACACAAGAACTAGTAAATACTTGTTACCTCCACACTTTGGCATCTCTGTGAAGTCCACCTGGAGATCTTCAAAGGGGACTGTTCCATAAACTTGTATACTGGGCGGAACAGCTGGACCTTGCCTCGCATTATGCTGTCGGCAGGTAACACACAGCTGCGTCACCGTTTTGGCAAGGGCTGACAAATGCGAGATGTAGAAATACTGGCCTAACAACTTTTCAAGTGACTCCTGACCTAAATGGGTGGTTTCATGCACAGCCAGTACAACTGCGGCTCCTAGCAGCTATGGCACAGCTACTCTCCCATGTGGTAACTGAATCCATTCTTCCTTCATCACTTGTCCTCCTTCTGCCTGGAGAAAGTCCTTTTCTTTAGAATAAGTAGGTACAAGATCAGGTACTTGAGGGAGCAGGGGGGCTGTGACTGATGCCTGGAAGGGGGCAGATGCTGCTTTTCGAGCCTCTGAGTCAACGCGGGAATTCCCCAAACCCACCAAGGTGGAAGCTCGCTGGTGTCCTCTGCAATGCATAACTGCCACCTTGTGGGCTTTCCATACTACTTCTAATAATTGTAGAATTTATTGTTGATATTTTATGTCCTTTCCCCCAGAGTTCAATAGGCCCTTTTCTTTATATAATGCTCCATGCACTTGAAGGGTTATAAAGGCATACCGAGAATCAGTGTAAATGTTTAGTCTTACCTTCACTGAGTTCTAAGGCCCAAATTAAAGCAGTGAGTTCAGCTTTCTGGGCTGAAGTGCCCTGGGGCTACAATCTGGCTTCAGCAGTGTCCAGGGTTACCACTACATACCCTACACATCTCTCTCCTTGTGGGTTGATGAAGCTGCTCCCATCCATGTATAGTTCCCAGTCTACTGATGCCCAAGGCTGGTCCCGGATGTCAGGTCTGCTAAACTGAGTCTAACACTTCTACACAGTCATGCTCGACAGGGTTCTCTGATACCGGGAGCAAGGTGGCAGGGTTCAGGGTGTTACAAACTTCAGTGGTTACACAGGGATTTTCACTGTAAAATCCAAGAGCAAACTTTGGTACTTGGTGAGTCTAGCATTCATTAGCCAATGATGTCCTTTAGTATTCATTAAGGTCACCACAGCATGGGGGGCCTTTATGTTCAGGTTTTGCCCAAGAGTCAGTTTATCTGCTTCTTATACTAGCAGGGCAGTTGCTGCCAAGGCCCTCAAACATGGGGGCCATCCTTTAGAAATTCTGTCTAGTTGTTTAGAGAGGTAGGCCACCGGCCTCGGCCAGGGCACCACAGTTTGGGTTAAAACTCCTAGTGCCATCTTTTCTCTCTGACACATACAATGTAAAAGGCTTTGTCAGATTGGGTAGCCCCAGGGCTGGGGCTGACAGAAGTTTTTCCTTTAACTCATGAAAGGCTTGTTGTTGTTGGGATCCCCATTCAAAAGGTTCCTGGTCCCCCGCTTTGTGACCTCATACAAAGGCTTGGCTAATGCTGCAAAGTTTGGGATCCACAGTCTGCAAAACCCCACAGCTCCTAAGAATTCTCTCACCTGCCTTCTGCTCTTAGGCTCCAGTAGATTGCAAATGACCTTCCTCAGTCCAATAACCATTCTGCCAGGTTGAGCAGGGCCCCTTCCTCCTTGTCTGGGACCTCCTGGTCTGAGTCACCTTGTTTTCCTTTTAGCTGAGGGCATTTGTTCTCCCAATGTCCTTTTTTTTTTTTTTTTTTTTTTAAGTTCTTGGGTACATGTGCACAATGTGCAGGTTTGTTACATATGTATACATGTGCCATGTTGGTGTGCTGCACCCATTAACTTGTCATTTACATTAGGTATATCTCCTAATGCTGTCCCTCCCTGGTTACGCTGCAAACTCTGACAGCCAGGCTCAGTTTCCTTTCCAGGGCACCCCCCCTTCCCTTGCCTCTTTGGAGGGACCCTTCTGATTGCTAATAGGTCAGCATTTCACCAGGCCTGACTTTCATTCTCTTTGCGGTTTTCCTTACGGCTTACTGCATCCCTGTTTACAAACACCTGGTTAGCTGTTTCTAATAACTGTGATGTATTCATCCCTGCAAACCCAGACTGTTTCTGCAGTTTTCTTATAATGTCTTCTGTGCTTTTACTAACTAAAGCCATGTTAATCATGCACTGATTTTCAGGGCTATTGGGATCAAAGGATGTGTACATACGATAGGCCTCACACAATCTTGCGTAGAATTGTGCTGGACTGGCCGGGCGTGGTGGCTCACGCCTGTAATCCCAGCACTTTGGGAGGCTGAGACGGGCGGATCACGAGGTCAGGAGATCGACACCATCCTGGCTAACATGGTGAAACCCCGTCTCTACTAAAAATACAAAAAAAATTAGCCGAGCGTGGTGGCAGGTGCCTGTAGTCCCAGCTACTCGGGAGGCTGAGGCAGGAGAATGTGTGAACCCGGGAGGCGGAGCTTGCAGTGAGCTGAGATGAGCCACTGCACTCCAACCTGGGCAACAGAGCGAGACTCCGTCTCAAAAAAAAAAAAAAAAAGAATTGTGCTGGACTTTTTTTCCCTGAATGACCTCAGAGACCTTGTTAACGTTTGTGGCTTTCAGGGCTCCCCTCTTTAATCCTTCCAAGACAGCTTCCCTGTATCGATTCGGCCTTTGCATACCCTCTCTTTCATTTGGGTCCCACTGGGGGTCTGTTCCTGGGAACTGGGTCCTCACATACTCTTGGGGGTTTGGTAATCAGCCGGTGCATGTTCCTCTAGCCACTTAGTTGCTGCTTGAAGCACTCTCCACCTTTCACCTGTGTTAAAGAGGAACATGAGCAACTGGTGGCAGTCAGCCCAGGTGGGGTTGTGGGTCTGGTTAATAGTTTGGAGCAAATCAATTAGAGCTTGTGGCTTTTCAGTATAGGATGGGATATTGTTTTTCCAGTTGAGAAGGTCGGCAGAGGTGAAGGGCTGGTACACAAAAACATGCCTCTCCACCATGTGCCCTTCCTCATCTATCCCAGTATACCGCTGCTCTCTCAGGGGCATTTGTATCCCAGTTTTGGGTCGTAAACGAGCTGCCAAGGGAGGGGTTTCTCCCAAGGCTTCACCTCCTCTCTAGTCTACTCTAGGTGGCCTAGGGATATGTTTGTCTTGCGGAGGCGCAAGCTCTGTGGGCTCAAGAGTGGGGAGCCTCTCTCCCTGGTAAGGGGAGGGCACCGCTGGGATCACTGGTGCCATCTCCTGCAATGGATCTTCGAACAGAACTTTAGGAGTTGATTTTCCTCAGCGGGTGGAGTAGGATCCTTCCTTGGCTATCTGTCTCTTTGCTACTAGCACTGCTGCTGCCTGCCCTCTTAGCCACTGTGGGGGATCTAGCATCAGCTGTAACCAAGTGTCTATGTATGGGAACTGGTCTGAGTATCCTGACTCACCAGTTACCTTGTGCCATACCTTAGAAACAAGGGACCTGTCCAGGCTTCCTTCTGATGGCCAACCCACTTCTAATGTTGGCCAATCTATTTTACACAAAGTTCTAAGTTTTCCTGGTGTCATAGTAACCCCATAGTCTCCACTAAATCCTTCCATGAAATTTTTCAACATAGTTCCTAGCGGACTGGGCATACTTTGTGTCTGATCCATGTTTCCTCGAGACAAAACACCACGCTCACACCACACGCACACCACAGAACAAAGAACAGGTAAAAGGGGCACCCACAACTTTTTCAGTTTACACCAAACCAGAATCAAAACCAAAATCAGAGTATCCAGAAATCCAAGCCAGGTCAAAACCAAAATATCAAGCAATTCAAGTCAACTCAAAAACCAAAGTGCCGGTACAGGCACGCCGTGGGTGATCAGGCCACGCTTCCGCTCAAATGGAGTGGGCAAGTTCCAAAGACCAGTCTTACCAAGTTTCAGATGTCCAGACTTAAAGTGCCAGTTCCTTCCCCGTGTTCAGCCACTGCGCTGATCCTCTGTGGGGGCCTGCTGTGCACTGCTCTGACGAGGCGTTCCAGCCGGGCAATTGCCTACCCAGGAGCGCTCTCAGGATCTGCGTCGCTCAAGCTGGCCAGAGTCCCCGGCAGGGTTGTTCCACAGGGCAGGCCTAAGCAGCAGCTTCGACCGACCGTCTGTTAATCACCTCGCCTCCCAGTCAGGTGAACCAAGAAATGTAGCAGGACGAGCTGCAGACAAAACTCCTCAGACACCGGATTAAAGAAGGAAGAGGTTTATTTATTCGGCCGGGAGCGTCGGCAGACTCACGTCTCCAGAGCCGAGCTCTCCGAAGACAGTGTTCCTGGCCCTTTTAAGGACTTACAAGGGGTTCCACGTGAAAGGGTCGTGATAGATTGAGAGCACATGTGGTTAGAGTGGGGGGGTTAATCTTTTAATCTCAGGCCTGGTCATCAGTGGCACCGGCTGGTCTTGCCACTGACTTCATTCCTGTTGTTTTTCAACTTTTACTTTGTCCTCTTCAGAGACAGGAGACAGTAAGAGAAATGGCTTCTCTCCTCAGGGGCATGCTGGCTAATCTGACTTGGCAAGGTTCTTGGCTAAGACTGGGTTGGGCAGGCAGAAGTCAGGACTGGGGTTGGGGCCAAGGTCGAGGATGGGGCTCAGAGGAACCTGACGAAAGTTTGGTCAAGGAGAGTCTTGGTCGGGAGCCTCCATTTCCACAGCTAACCCAGGCTGGTGTCTGCTGTCACGTGAGAGCATGGGGAGGCAAGGACTTCTCCGACAAATGCCAAGATGGGATGTAGCCGGCTGCCCAGCTGTGCCCTTCTTCTCTAGGGGTGCCTCAGAAACAAGAAGGAGGTATGCTAGCAGACCCCAGCCGCACCTTCCAGTGGCCCAGGAGGTGGCTCATCACTGCTTCCCAGAAGGAAATCCTTGGCCTCGCCCCAAGGAGCTGTCCTCAGTTTTATAGGCATGAATCTGCCATAACGAGGAGGCATCCCTGTTGTCCATCTCAAGGACTCACTGCGGCTACACATGTGGATCACCCAGGGAGCTTCTTAAAAAAACACCAGTTCATGGTCCTTTTGTAGTTCATGAACGTGATGACTGGGTTTCCACGCACATGTGTGAGATGGACCTCCCTCAAACCTTGTTGTGTCATTGGCACATTACCTGTCCAATGAAAAGAAATAAAAATACCAGTGTGGGCCATGCCCCAGGGATTCTGATTAGATTAGCCTGAGCTGGGGTGTAGACATTGATATGCTTACAACTTCATACTTCCACACTCCCCTACTCCACCCCTCAACTTCCCCCATGATCTGACACATCTGACACCTGTGAGGGCCTTTTCTGTTAACTGAGGAACTCATAGATGCCTCCCGGGGCCAGAGCAATGGGATATAAACCATTTCTAAGGCTGAGGAAGTGCCACAGGAAGGCAGCAGAGTAGTTTACAGCCTCTCGACTCAAGGTGTGGTCCTCAGACCAGCGGCCTCATCTGGGAGCTTGTTAGTGATGCGGTCTCCCGCCCACCCGAGGCCGATTGAGACAGGGCCTGTGAGCTGCCAAGCCCTTCGGGTGACTGAAGGGCACAGTAGGGTTTGTGGTGCACTGGACAGGGCTTGGCTGTGTGACCTCTCCGTGCTGCCTCATGTTTCTGGACTGTATTAGTACTTTTTTTTTTTTTTGAGACAGAGTCTTGCACTGTCACCCAGGCTGGAGTGCAGTGGCACAGTCAAGCCTCACTGCAGCCTCGACCTCCCTGGGCTCAAGTGATGCTCTTGCCTCAGCCTCCTGAGTAACTGAGACTACAGGCGCACGCCACCATGCCTGGCCAATTTTTTGTATTTATTGTAGAGACAGAGTCTCACTATGTTGCCCAGGCTGGTCTCAAACTCCTGGGTTCAAGAGATCCACCCGCCTCGGCCTCCCAAAGTGCTGGGATTATAGGCATGAGCCACCACACCCGGTCATCTTTCTGGTATGTTAAAGGAAGATATTATAATACTACCACCAACTTCTTAGGGCTGTTGTGAGGATTAAGTATATTAATATGTGTTAAAAAGCAGTTAGGACAGGCCTGGCACGCCTATCCGAAGTGCCGTATAAACTATGATTGTGATGATCATTTGGGGGATGGGGCCCATGCTTCTAAGCTGTCTGGAGCCCTGGTGCATTTCCGCAGGCGCAGGCTTAGCCCGGGTGCTTTACAATCCACTTTTATTTACCAGTGACTCCGATGTCCCAGCTTTCTGCCAGCCGCAGTAAATCACCTGGCCTACTGGGCTTCCTCCAGAAGGTCCCTGCCTGTCTCGGCCGGCACAGAGCTAGATTGCGTGTGCACCTGCCCTGCCCCTCCTCTGTCCACCACCAGGCCCCCAGGATCAAGCAGCCTCTGGAGGGAGGGGTGCCCAGGCTTGGCTCTGGGAGCAGCCCTCGCCCTGTGTACTGCTTTCACCGCAAGGCGATCCCTTCCCAGCTGCAGGCACTTGGCATTCTGAGCCCTGCTACGATGCTTTATGGCCTCTCTCCAACTGCTGGCAGGTGCAGATGTAGTACCTGCGGCTGCCCGGAGCTCCTGGCTCTTGGCATCGGAGATGAGAGACCTGTCACCCCTCGATTCATGGGCCGGGTTTGGGAAGCGAGCATGCTGGGGCGTTTCTGCATTTTGCGGGCCATTTTTCTTTGCCTCATTCCTCATCCCAGCCACCCACCTCCCCAGCTCTTTCCTCCTCTCTTCCTGATTTCCCTGCG